TTCTGCGTATTGTTTTCTGGCCAAATCTATAAGTTATTCTGCGTATTGTTTCATGGCCAAATCTATAAGTTATTCTGCGTATTGTTTCATGGCCAAATCTATAAGTTATTCTGCGTATTGTTTCATGGCCAAATCTATAAGTTATTCTGCGTATTGTTTCATGGCCAAATCTATAAGTTATTCTGCGTATTGTTTTATGGCCAAGCTATGAGTTATCCTGCGTATTGTTTCATGGTCAAGCTATAAATTGTAAATGATAGGTAGAATGGATCATGTTCAAATTGAAAGCATTCTTGTTTATTAACTAATATTCATTTAGATACATTCTGATATTGTGCCAGTGAAATCTTGCAAAAATAAATTGGTTGCTATCTATAAAATAATAAATGTGTCATGTATTGATTCGTGATCAAGTCAATTCAAGTCATAAATTGTTTGAGATTAACCAATGTCATAACATCATAGAAGAAAATTTGAATTGGTGACCTACAAAGCTTTTAAGCGAATGGGGGATTGGACAAAAACATTGATACCTGAGGTATTTCTGCGTTTTGTACAGTCAACTGGGAATATATATTGCACCTTGATGGGTAGTGACAAAGTTATGATACTGCCATTTAGACTACTGTTAAACATTTGTGACTTCTAAATTGTGCTCATCCACTGAAATCATTCCCGAATAGGTGAAAAGTGGAATTCTTTTTAACATTAAAATTATTTTACATATTATACTTATCTGATATCTGTAACAATAAGTTTTTACTGGTCATTTAATATCTAAATGTAGCCGAAGGATAAGTAGTAATGCTGTCAGCTTTCAGTTCAGCTAATGTTATGTGTCATGGCATCGTGCGAGATTAAGCATTCATTGTACTTTGCTCTAAATTCGTAATTGCATGTTGATCATGTTAATGAATTATGGCGTTCATTCTTTCTTTGCAAACAGATATGACTATATATTTGATAGGTTGTTATTGTGTCTTACTTAGTACATTATTATTTGTGTTATAGAAACAGAAATTTATTAGTGTTTACTGAATTTGAGAGTCTCGGAGGCAGACGATTCCATCAAGGATTTATATTCAAAGAGATGATAAAGTGATTTTGAAGGACAAAATTAATGTCTGCATAAAAGACACTTGAAATGGTGATGATTATAAAAAATCAACTGGAAATGTGTGGGAGACATCTTTTTCTGAATAAAAGGGTCAAATGCATTAAAACTTGAGTAGCAATTGTCAGGTTTGTCCAGTAAATCAATATTGAGTGTCAATACTGTTTTAATGGCTATGTATAATTGTTCCAATAAGAAATTTTTGAACCCTGTATTTTCATTTTTAGGTTATCACATAAAGGATAAAATAGCTAAATGAACTAACGAGTAATTTGAGAATGATGTAATATTCATATCTTATAATGCTTTGTTTCATGGACTATATTCTTGGTTCCAGAGGGTGAAGCATGCTGAACTAGGAGAACTAGTTATCTTGAATGCTGACAGCAACAAAATAGAAACACCTTTTGATGACCTTCAAACTCTACCTCCAGAAATAGTAGGTTGGAATCTTGTGAACTAATTTTGTTTTTGTATTTTGTCTATTTTTAACGAAGACAGAACAGTACTAGTTGTTATTTGTGTATTTAAATGATGATAATTATGTAATGGTTTAACAAAATATTATTAAATATATAAATAGTAACATGAATTCTGAGATATTTTCAATAAATAATATCTAAAGCTTTGAAAAGCATTTTTTTTTCTATATTTTTGCTGTGTGCAGACATCTTGTATTTTAATGTCTGTGCTTCCCATTGTATTCAGATGTATGAGAAAGGTTCTTCTGTATCCTTTTTGATATTTCAAAGTTTTTAACAGGTAGAGCACACAGTAAACTAATCATTGAAACAAGAGTCTCATGATTCTAGTGTGTAGAAGGACCTATGTAGTGAATATGGTCTGTTAGAGGAAAGACACAAGACTCGAAAGTAAAGTAAATAAACTGTAGATCCTCGTTGTTGGAGGTGGTTACAATCAAATATAAAGTCAATAAACTGTAGATCCTTGTTGTTAGAGGTGGTTACAATCAAGTATAAAGTCAATAAACTGTAGATCCTTGTTGTTGGAGGTGGTTACAATCAAATAGAAAGATAAGTAAATAAACTGTAGATCCTTGTTGTTGTAGGTGTTACAATCAAATAGAAAGTAAAGTAAATAAAATGTAGATCCTTGTTGTTGTAGGTGGTTATATTTGATTGTAACCACCTCCAACAACAAGGATCTACAGTTTATTGACTTTATATTTGATTGGAGGATCTACAGTTTACTGACTTTAGTTGCTGGAGGTGGTTACAATCAAATAGAAAGATAAGTCAATAAAATGTAGATCCTTGTTGTTGTAGGTGTTACAATCAAATAGAAAGATAAGTCAATAAAATGTAGATCCTTGTTGTTGTAGGTGGTTACAATCAAATAGAAAGTAAAGTCAATAAAATGTAGATCCTTGTTGTTGTAGGTGGTTACAATCAAATAGAAAGTAAAGTAAATAAAATGTAGATCCTTGTTGTTGTAGGTGGTTACAATCAAATAGAAAGTAAAGTAAATAAAATGTAGATCCTTGTTGTTGTAGGTGGTTACAATCAAATAGAAAGTAAAGTAAATAAACTGTAGATCCTTGTTGTTGTAGGTGGTTACAATCAAATATAAAGTCAATAAAGTGTAGATCCTTGTTGTTAGAGGTGGTTACAATCAAATAGAAAGAACTACATTTAAATAAAAGTAAAATAAATAAACTGACTGTGAAATTACTGCTGTAGATAAAATATACACACTCAGCAGCTGGAATGGTCACAAGCAGATACATGTACAATATTTTAACTCCTTTTGAGCTGAAATCTATCAGAAAGTGTCAAGTGTGCTCTCACAAACTAAATTCTCTATAATTGTCAAATCAAATAGTTGGATCGCTAAAATCTGGATGTACCTCTATCATAAGGCAACTCACACACAAGTTGATAGAATTTTTACAACCATTCCATGAAACAGCAGATAACATCTAGGACTGAACTGGCATATGAGCTAGCTCGGAGTTATCAAGCTTTAAAATATAATTCTGGAAACAAAAAATTTGGTTCACTGTATTTGAAGTGTATTATAGGAAAATGAGATATGTGCATGCCATATCAGTGTATAAATTTGGAAACAAATGAAGAAATTTATATGTTCTTGAACCTTTCTCGTTTAGAATAATTGAATACAAGGTTAAGAGTTACAGTGTAACCCTCTTCATAATATTGTGTACATATGTATTTAAATCATTCTGTTTTAAATTGTTTTCTGGTTTAGTGGTGTGCCCTGTCTCTGAGATTTCATTTGAACAGTTTACATGGGAATGCTGTTAATGTCTCCTTCCTGCTTGTAGTTTTTTAATTTTGTAGAATCATTTTCTGCTGTTGGAGGACCACGCGTAATATGAACTCTTCCAAAAAGAAAAGTAATAAATTAATTCTTAACCTCAGAAGTCAACTGACAAAACTTGTGAGCACCTGCCCTGTATAAGCAGTGTTATGTGTTTAAATCCAGTCTTTGTTGTTATGTCTCCAGTTTCATAGAACGTAATGCAACATTTAAAATTTCTATAATTAAATTCCTACTTGTGATATTGATAAGATTAAGGCTAACAATTGCTGTTTGATCTGTTAGTGATGGCCAGTTTCTTGGAAAAAGATTTTTATTATCAAATTTAGCATTTCATATGAATCAAACAAAGTTGTATGAGGCATTATTGCCAGTTATGAGGAGCCACATTGTTCAAATTGTCTTTTGTTGGCTTTGTTAATTTTTAAATGGACACAAGATTAAAATTGTAGTCACTGAAACACAGGTACATTCATTTCAGAAATTGGTGTACATGCTTTGCAGTTGAAGGACCTTGAAGTTGGTGAAGTATCAAAGCATGATTTTAATATAGTAAAGATAAAATATAATTCCAGATTTTTGAGTACAATTATAGTATATGTATCACAATAAGATTTCTTTATGCTTGTGTTTTTAAATAAATTTATAAGAAATTAACACTTACCACCAAGTTTCAAATAATAGCCAGATTAAAAGCTGGAGTGTATCAATAAATGCAATTCATTCTTAAAGAAATGTTTTAGACTACATTTCCTGTAAATTGAACACTTTTGTATGTGCACACTTAAGCACAATGGTGTGTTGAGCCAGTAGGACAGTTAAAGGGTTGTGACAAGAAAGTCTAAAGAGATGGTGGGTTTGGCAGGATATATACAAATAGTCAAAGCATCTATACGAGGCTATTTATGTGCCTATAATATTAATGTATAGATAATATAGTCTACTCCATAAACTACCACAACAATGTTTGTCTGATGCAGGGTAAATGTATAATAATGGAAAATGTGCATTTTTAAATAATGAAACCTTCAACCAACATTATTTTGAAGTTATTTAAAGAAAAATTCAATGATGGTTTATTTAAGGTGGTGTATACTTGAGTTTAAAAAGATACATATGAAGTTGTTCTTCTGAATTTTTACAAGTAAAATTCTTGTACACAAATTGTTATATAAGATTTTAAAAAACAGTTCAGTGCGCATAAAATTGGAACTGAATTCTTTAAAAGTTAAATATATCAGTTAAATCTCAACCATTTTTTTGTATTTGTGTGAAATCACACATTTTGTTTATAGGTTAAAGTTGGTTTCATTTTTCTAAAGTCTGAAGTCCTTTGCAGAATTTGAGAAATGCTGTTTAGTCTCTAAAGGGTGGTTCCTTTCTTTTGATCAATATGCACTGTCACATTTTCAAACTGTTGTACAAATATGTAAAAACAATGGTAAAATTTTATTTAGGTGTCTAATTTGAAGAGAAATCTCCGGAATCCCAGCAACACTCTAGGTGATGGAGTTGCACGAGCCTTTCTAAGAGCATTAGTACAGTTGATTGGAGGTTACAGAGAAGCTCTTAAAATGAAAATGGGAGAGAGAATCAGCTTTGATCCAGATGCTTTCATTCAGTCACGACCAAACTCGATGCAGCAGTTCCTGGAGAAAATGCTTCATTTACAGATCTTCCAGCAGGTTAGTACCTTTAAACAATACATATAGAGTTACCCAACATATTAATTGGTACACCAAAATTGTTGTGATGAATGATTGTTAGTGAGAAATTGAATTTCTGAATTATATTCTTTATGATGAATTAGAAATTTTATAGTTGATAAAAAAAAAAAAAATGTTGTCTATATGGGGCAATGAACTTTTACTAAACCATATTAGGGCAATGAACTTTTACTAAACCATATTAGGGCAAAGAACTTTTACCAAATCATATTAGGGCAAAGAACTTTTACCAAACCATATTAGGGCAAAGAACTTTTACAAACCATATTAGGGCAAAGAACTTTTACCAAACCATATTAGGGCAAAGAACTTTTAACAAACCATATTAGGGCGAAGAACTTTTAACAAACCATATTAATGCTCATGTATAATTTCAGCTTTGTGTTTTAGTGAAGTTATTCAACAAAACATTGTTATAAGTGAATGTCATCTGATTCTTTAATGAGGGGGGGGGGTAAAAATATATAGTTAACAATGCCAGTTAAGAGCCCACATGTAATGTTTCTTCACAGGTGCATGATGTTTCTTGTTGTGCCACTGGCACTAGCATCTTCCATGTCATATATCATAAGTCTTTTCCCCTCCCCCTCTCTTGTGGGTCATTTTACAGACTTTAATGCTAATATCTGGGTTTTGATTCCACATGGTGGACAAGTGCAAAAGCCCATTTTATGCTTTGCTCTAATAAATCAACAACAACAACAAAAAGCAGCCTACTGTAGAAAGCTTTAGGAAAATAATTTTTTATGTTGATAGAACTTTCTACTTATTTCTCTTGGATAAAGCATATCTTTATCACTGAAATAAAGTTAAATAGGTATTTTACCGTCCATGTGGCAGAAGAAATCATAACAAGTATGGTAGTGTAGGTTTTTCAGTGAAGGGTGAGTTACTGTTAGAAATTAGTAAAAGTTGCTTCCAATATCAAGGTCAACATCCATTGCTATCAGGAAAATAAAGCTGAATGTAGTGTTTCCTAAAATTCCTCTCTCACACACACACACACACACACACACAATGTGGCAATGATGCTGAAACAGAGAAACTTCAACATGAGAAGCTAAAGTGGCTTCACATCTAAAGATACTGTTCTAATCTTTTGTGCATCAAAATATTTTTGGAAAATAGGTAACCCAAATTTTTTGCATACTTTAAAAAACTTTTAGTGTAAACTGAGATCAAACTGTTTTCACTGAAGTCATACTGCCAGGGAATTATATGAAACCAAGATAAAATAATGTTAATATTCAAAAGAAAAGGTCAAATCTTTTTACAAATATAACAACCACCAGTAATATCACTCATTTGCCATCTTCTAATACATCAATATCAAGACATTTCATTCTTTTACACCTGCATTTTTACATTAATTGAGTATAACAGCCATCACTGTTTTTCTTTAGATTTATAAAAGCAGAAACTGTTTTGGGTTTTTTGTATATTCAGCAACTATACTTAGTTTGGGAGATAATTACATGATTTGCAACATAGTTTTTAAACAGTTTTCCAGTAGTTAAAAAATACTTAGAATTTTAAAATGTTTAGCTATTTCCAGTATTTAAATTTTTTATACCAGATAGTATAACATAGTACTTTTCAATGATAATCTTTTGGGTAGGGAGGATAATTGTTTACTTAACTGGTCTCAATGTAAATGTTGTTATGTCGTGATGGATGAACTTTCGTTGTTTCATTGATAATTTTGACATGTCTGTTCTAACATAGATCTTAAAAATAGTTGTGTATTTGGATTTTGATAAAAGACTGATTTTGAAGCAGTGCTTTTGATTCATTAAAAGTAAAGCTATCTGCTACATCTTGATTAAACTTTCTATGGCACGTCTGTATAAACTCTTTCACTACCAGTTTATTGAAGATCGTCTTGACCTACTGAACTCTGGACAAGGTTTCAGTGATGAATTTGAATTTGAAGTAAATACTTATGAAGATAAGAGCAGCAGCAAACTACGAAGTCAATATCGGGAATGGGCCATTACAATGAAGGTAAAAATTGGGATTACTGTGTCACGTTTGTCTCTTTTTGACAACTGGGAAATGTTAAGTTACTTGTTTCTTTTTTTTCTCTCTTTTTTTATAATTCAGTTAAGTCACTTATCCTTTTACTTATTTTTTATCCATATTGTACATGTCCTCTTATTAAATAACATAATATAATATGTGACTTTTTAATCCTAATTTTAAAAAATTATTATAATTTAAATAAAGTCTTGTAACCATACAATACATTTAAAATATTATGCCAATATTATAGGGTATTTCTATCAGTTGAAAAAATTTGAACTTCAGCTACATGATTAATATTTCTTTGATGAATAATATACACCTGGAAAAAAGTTAAGCACCCCCAAATATTTTTCAGGATTGCTTATTGAAAATAAGGTTTAATCTTCATGATGTTGAGCAATGTTCATAATTTCAAACATAATTAAA